CAAAAGCTTACCCAACTTGCACTCTACAACATCTCCTCTAATGATCTTACTTTCTACACTGATGGGTCTGTGATAGGACTAGGAACAGACCAATACTCAATGGGTATAGGCTGGGTTCAAGTCCAAGATGACCAACCAGTACAAGAATTTTTAGCAAAAATCAAAAGCTAGCCCTCTTTATACAAAGCAGAACTTATAGCAATTCTGTTAGCAATCTCAACAGCTCCAAGAGACGCTACAGTAAACATATTCACTGACTCCTAATCAGTTATATCAAAATATAACAGTCTTTGTCAAACCTCTCTACTCTCATCCAAGTACACTAAATGCAATTACTGGCCTATTTAGCACACTATTATAGGCTTTATTAAATCGTATAAAATCCAACTCCAGCTTCACAAAGTCACGGCACATTCAGTTGGCAAATTTAATAACTATGCTGATTCACTAGCAATACTCCGCCCCCAGCTCCACATATTTCTTTTAGCTCACACTAATATGTATAATCTATTCTCTACCCTTATCTGGGAAAAGCATCCAGTAAAAAGCTATAGCAGACACTTTATCAAAAATATTTGCAGAGCACAAACTATTGCTATGTAGTCCTCACAAAAACGTAATCTCAAATAGTCAAACTTTGTAGAAGAAATCAACTGGCAAGCAACCTGGCTATACTTAAACAATAATCAAAAAGTCTCACATGGCTACAATAGCCAGAAACTCAATCATGCAAAAGCCTTCAAAATAAAGATACTTCTAAACTGCCTCCTATATATAACTACTTCCACACAACCTCACATAAACACTTCCAGTCCCCAAACTGCTTCAACTGTAACCTTCCAGAGACATCTACATACTGGCTAACATGTCTACAGCCTAATCTACTTAGCCAAATTATAGTCTCTTCTATATCTGAAACAGTTTATAAATTACTCCCAACTCTACCAATCCCTACATGCAATACTCTTATTAATGCTTTATACTCACACCCAGCACTTAATCCTTCCCCTCAATCTTCCAACAACTACAATTATATTTCTACTCTCCAGGGCCTTATTTCAGCTCACCTCATATTAACAACTCGATCTGAGGACATATCACACAAAGAGGCATCACAAATTGTCATACAATCTCTGCTATGCATAATCAAAAACATCTATGAACAGATCTGAAAATCATACTCAGCCAAATTAGCTCAATAAAAAAAAGAGCACAAGATCTTTACAAAACCTACAGGCAACTCACGTTAATACAAAAGATGCTCAGCTTTAAAACAACATAAAAAAACCTATACATATAGTTGCCTTTGCGGACAATCAAATCAAGTACATGACAAAGATAATACATACTCTCTAGCTAGACTAGCAACAAAAAAGTTCAACAGCTAGAGCCCCATGTGGGTCTCCCTGGTATACCTACAAACTTTATACTAACCTTAAAAGCTAGGTGAGTCTTGACCACTCTAGTAGGTTTAGGTTGCAAATAAATTGTTAAATTAGTCTGAGCTCTTACTCTTGCATATAATTTATATATATTTGTATTTGTACAAGTTAAGTCGTATATAGTTTACTATGTAACTTCTTATATAAATTACTCAATAAAGATATGAGCAAGACCTCACCTTAAAAAAAAAAA